TCTACAGCATATCCTTGATCCAGCAAGGTAGTAGCTTTCTCGAAAAAAAAGATAAGGTTAGTCTGACATGACTTGTTCTTGAGAAACCCATGTTGCCTCTTAGTAATCACAGCCATCCTTTCTAAATGCTCAAGGACTGTCTGTTTGATGATTTGTTCTAAAGCTTTCCCAGGTATAGACGTCAAGGTGACGGGTCGGTAGTTACCCGGATCCTCCTTTTCCCCCTTCTTGAAGATGGGGACAACATTTGCCCACCTGCAGTCTTCTGGCACCTCACCTGTTCTCCAAGAATTCTCAAAAACAATGGCCAGAGGCTCAGAAATTACATCCGCAAGTTCTTTTAGTGCCCTTGGATGCAGTTCATCTGGCCTCGAAGACTTAGTTTCATTTAAGGAAACTAGGGGTTTATGTACTACCCCTATGCTGATCCTAGGCTGCAGCTCCCTTCCCTCATCATGTGTTCCGTTTTTGCCATGTTGAGCACTGTTTCCCTCACAAGAGAAACTAGGGTTGCCAGCCTCCAGGTGGGGCCTGGAGATCTCCCACTTCTATAAGTGATCTGCAGCTGACAGAGATCAGCTCCTCTGGAAAAAATGGGCGCTTTGAAGGGTGGGCTCCCTGACATAGAAAGCCAGTTTGGTGTAGTGGTTAAGTGCGCGGACTCTAATCTGGGAGAACCGGGTTTGATTCCCCACTCCTCCACTTGCACCTGCTGGATGACCTTGGGCAAGACATAGTTCTGACAAGAGCTGTTCTGGGAAAAGAGCAGTTTCTGGAAAGAGCTCTCTCAGCCCCGCCTACCTCACAGGGAGTCTGTTGTGAGGAGAGAAAGGGAAAGGAAATTGTAAGCTGCTCTGAGACACCTTTGGGTAGTGAAGGGCGGGGCATAAATCCAATCTCTTCTTCTTCTTCTTCATTGTACCATGCTGAAGCCCCTCCCCTCCCCAAACCCCACCCTCTCCCAGATCCGCCCCAAAGTTGCCAGGCATTTTCCAACCCAGACCTGGCAACCTTAGAGAAGACAGAGGAAAAGTTGGAATTGAGCAGTTCTGCCCTCTCTTCTTCACCTGTTACAATTTCGCTTTCCTGTCCCCGCAATGGGCCTACCATGGTCCTTGCTCGTTTTCTTACTTTGAACATAAGAAAATAACCCTTTTTTTGTTGTTTTTAGCATCTCTCGCTAGCCCAAGCTCATACTGAGCTTTAGCTTTCCTAACTCTCCCTCTCCTGAAGAACCGCCTCCTCCCATACAAACCTGCTTACTCAATCTGGCCATCCTTGGAGCAGGCCCACAGCTACGGTGGGGCGTCTCGGGGCGAGGCCCCCTGACTTACTGGAAAGGCCCCCCTGACTTCCCCTCTAGCCCAGGGCCCCCAAGCAGTGGCAGGTGCAGGGAAGGAGACAGGTATTGTTTTAATTTGATTAGCCAGGGCCCCGCTAAGACATTTAAAGGCCCCCCCACTTAAAAAATCCTGGCTAGGGGCCTGCCTTGGAGGCCCTGCTTCAGTTGCCCCTCCCCACACACACACACTGTCTGAAGGTAGATGGGTGATGACTCAAGAAAGGGCCTTCTTTGCTGTGGCACCAAAACTTTGGGTCTCCCTCCTCAGAGAGATTCACCTGTCTTGCTCTGTTGGTGCCTTTCACCAGGAGGTGAAGCTTTATTTTGTTTTGTCTGGCATACCCCTCCCAGTAAGGATTATTGGCCCGCCTTCTAGTGTTTTATTTGATTTTATTTATGTATTGTATTGTATTGTATTGTATTTATACCCCACCCTGCCCACGAACGGGCTCAGGGCGACTGTCCATCGCTTTGCGTGTGGGTGCGCGCATGTGTGTGTGTTACTAATTGAATTTTATAATTTTAGCAGTACTTTTAATGGTTTAAATGCTTTTATGTTTTTTATGTTCTGAGCTTAAGACTCTCCTTCTCCCATACGAACCCACCCACTCACTCTGGTCAGTCTTGGAGGCCCTGCTTCAGTTGTCCCCACCACCTGAAGGTGGATCGGGGGTGATCGGAGAAAGAGCCACCTTGGTGGTGGTGCCAAAACTCTCCCTCCCCAGGTAGAGGCATCTGTCTCCCTCTATTGGTGTCTTTCGCCAGCAGGTGAAGAAGATCTTCTTGTTTCATCCGGCATACCCTCAATAGCCGCTTTTGGCTCTACATAAGAACATAAGAGACGCCAATGTTGGATGACCCCACCCCAAGCACCAAGAAGACAGAGCATCACTTGCCCCAGAGTCCCTATCTGTACCTTGTGGCTAATAGCCACTAATGGACCTCTGCTCCATATGCTTATCTAATTCCCCCTAATAAGAACATAAGAGAAGCCAGTGTTGGATCAGGCCAAAGGCCCATCCAGTCCAGTCCATCACTTGCCCCAGAGTCCCTATCTATACCTTGTGGCTAATAGCCACTGATGGACCACTTGACCTCCATATGCTCATCTAATTCTCCTTCTAGCACTGTGTGTTTATGTGTTTTTTAAATTCAATGTATTTTTATGTCAATTATATAAAACAACAAAACAAAACAAACATACATAAATACTCATAAAAGGGAGATTCTGGCTATATCATTTTAACCATTATTTTTGTTATCTTATTGTATTATTATTATTTTCCCCACCGTACAATTATATTTTATTAATAGTTACATCTAGTTCCTTGATTCTTTTTCTTTCAGTCAGGGGTCCAGGAACTTTAATTATTTTCTTCTATTCAATCGTAAAATCTTGACCAAGTGTTTTCAAAGTCTTCTTTATTATTTCCTCTTAATATCATAGTGTGTTTATGTGTTTTTAATTGATTTTTAATCATTTTAACTTTATTTCTGATTTTCCGTATGTTTGTATGTTCATCGCTTTGTGGACCCGGATTGGGTGGAAAGGTGGCATAAATATGTTTTAAATAAATAAATAAAACCCCACAGACTTTTGTGCCCCCTGAATTCTTTCCTAGTTATGGCTACTGCTCCCATGTCCAGTCTTCAAATCTTAGCAAGCCGACGCTTAACCTTGTTGCCATTTGTAGACTAAAACAAACCTAATCTGAGAATTTTCATGTGCGGGAATTTAATGTCCCAACACAGCTTCAGTTTCAAATGTGTATAAAATCCAGTTTCAGTCCTGAACTCAGGGCTAATTTTGGGCAGGAACGCACAGGAACGGAGTTCCGGCTGGCTCCTGAGTTGGCCACGCCCAGCAGGAACTCATTAGCATAATAGACCACACCTAACAGCAGACACTCATTAGGATTGGCTACATTAGGGGTGTGTGGCCTAACATGCAAAGAAGTTCCTGCTACAAAAAAAGCCCTGCCTGAACTGTTAAATCCTGAATCATCTCTTTTCTGGGCACCAGGTGGTCGTGAACGCTCTTCTGGGGGCCATCCCGTCCATCATGAACGTCCTCTTGGTCTGCTTGATCTTCTGGCTCATCTTTAGCATTATGGGGGTCAACCTCTTTGCAGGGAAGTATTACCGGTGCATCAACACCACCACCGCGGAGCTCTTCGACATCAGTGTAGTGAACAACAAGACCGAATGCTTGGCCCTCAACTACACCAATGACGTCCGCTGGGTCAACGTGAAAGTCAATTTTGACAACGTGGGCTTTGGCTACCTCTCTCTTCTGCAGGTGGTGAGTACGCCTGCTTCCCTCCCAGCCCACCTCTGTTCTCCATAGGAGCATTCCCCCCTCACCCCCAATATGCTCAAAGCCTTCTTCTGAGGACCTTCCTCCTAGAAAGCCTGAGATGGAATGTTTGCCCCATCTTTCGTTCCCGTGTGGTGAACCTTCCCTCAGAATGCATGCATGCGAGCACCATCACCCACAGTGATGAAGTATTTACCACACTCAGACTCTTTGGGGCATGGTATGTTCCACAAGCTGATGCCACGGGAGCCATCCAAAGGAAGCATTCACATCTTGACAGTGAAAGCCCAGTGTGAGGGGGGGATTCTTGGGATTTATGGGGTGAGCCTTCTACACTTATTTATTTATTGATTTACTTAAATTTATAACCCGCCCTCCCCGCGAACGGGCTCAGGGCGGCGTACAGATGGGGCCAATGCCCAATACTTAAAACATTTTTTAAAAGGTAAAGGTCTCCCTTGCTCGAAAGCCAGTCGAATCCGACTCTAGGGTTGCGGTGCTCATCTCCGTTTCAAAGCCGAAGAGCCAGCGCTGTCCGAAGACATTTCCATGGTCATGTGGCCGGCATGACTAAACACCAAGGTGCATTTTAAAAACATTCAGTACAACATAAGTGCTCTCCACAATAACCAGAGGTCATTTCGGGGGGGGGGGATGTGGGGTTCAGGGGGCGGGGCCCATGACGAAGCCCCGCCCCCTGCTTCCGGCCGCCCCGCTTCCAGCCCTCATTCAGCTAGGAG